CCCATCGCCTGTCATGACAGCCGCACCCACACGCGGCCGCTGCGCCGCACCGGGCGCCACCAACCAACCAACCAACCAGCCACCCCACCTCCCACCACCACCAGTCTGCACCACCCACCCCCCACCCCCACCCCCACCACCCCACTCCCATCCCCACCCCCACCACCCCCACCCCACCTCCACCACCCCCGCCCGCCATCATCACCCCACTCGGCACGGACGGGTGGCGGGCGTACCTGGCCAGGGTCTCCCCTCCCTCTGCCTGGCTACCCCACCCGTACCAGCCCCCGCCACCCTCCCCACTCGCCCACCACTCCCACCATCCCTCTCCCTCTCCCTCTCCCTCTTTCTCTCCCTCTTCCTCTCCTTCACCTTCTCCCTCTCGTTCTCCATCTCCTTCGTCCGCGACACAGCTCTCACCCGCATTTGCCCGGCACCTGCACGCCACTCGCACACGCCGCACGCCGCCGCCGCCGCCCATCCATCCTCTACTCCGTCGACATGGCCAGAGCACAGCTTCCAACCACCATCAAGGCCGCCACACCAATGGTCATGCTACTGCTGCTGTCGCTCGCAAATCGGTCTCGTTTGGCATCTCGCGAGGTCGCCGCCGTCCTGAGCGCGCCGCCCACCACCTGCCTGATCGCGCCGCCCGCCGCTCAACCGAGGCGTACAACGCCATGTTCAACAGACAGCTGCGGCCGCAGCTGCTCTCGAGCGCCCTGCCGCCGCCGCCTGCACCTCGACGCTCCCGAGCTCACACTGATTCCAAGATTGGTTCAATATCAGTTATTCCGCGACGGCGGCGGGCCGCAGCGCCCCCAAGCCGGCATCGAGGCAGAGAGCTGCGCTCCCGCCTGCAGTTCGTCGATCAGCCTCACCGGCGCGGCGACTGCCGTCGCTCGACGAGTATACGGTGCCTGGTAATCGATCGCGGGTCGGCCTCACACCGCATGCTCGCGAGCGCCTGGCCCACCTCCGCTCGCTCCGGACTGCACAACCCGGGGTGCGGGGGCCTCATCCCAGCGGTTGAAGCGATGGCGCAAAGAGGTACACCTGCTCGCCCGCAACATGGGCGGTGAGCGTGCCGTCGACGAGCAGCGCGTGAATCCATCCGATGCATACGCCGGGCACCGCAGACACAGGCGTCGCGATCCTGGCCAGTTCATGCAGCTCGATATGCGGCCGCGCCCGCACGATCGAGTGCAGCCGTTGCCTGTCCTCAACCCGCGGCGCAAGCACATCACCCGTCGCCTGCGTCTCGGCCCGGCTTCCTGCCACCAACAACAGGTCGGCGTGCATGATGACCCGGGTCGTCTCACCGAGTCGCTCCAGCGCGTCGACTGCCTGCGCAAAGTTGAGCTCCGGCTCGACGGCTGCTGTACCCACCAGCGCAGTCTCGAACGAGAGCGCGACCGGTGAGGCCACCAGCGCGTCAGCTAGCGCGTCCCAGGCATGTTTGGGTACCGTCGATGCTTCCAGCATGTGGGGCGGCCAGGTCCGCCTCGTGCCTGTTGCGTGCTCTGCACGCCGCTCGGTCATCTTGGCCCGCAGCAGCTGAGCAAAGCCTGCGCCGGCGCCGTCGGCAGATGCCGAGCCGTAGACCAGCGCAAGGCCGGTCGGTGATGGCCGCGGCAGACCGCCGGACTGGCCCGCCTCGCCCGACCACACCCGGACCTCTACACTCGCGGTCACCCCGTCCGGCACCGTGTTAGGTGGGATCCGCGAGGTGTCGACCTCAACCTTGACCTCGCCTTCGATGACGCCCTCCACAACAGCACAGAGCTCACCGGCGCGTACATCCTCAGACACCAGCTCGATGCTGTTCGCCCCGCTCGGTGCACGCAGCGTTGCCAGTGTCTGCTGCCATGCACCGGCAAACAAGTAAAAGCTCGAGTCGACGCCAAACGGTTGGCTCTGCACCGTCCGTGCGTAGACCAGGCCACACTTGCCGTCGACAAACAGGTGGTCCAAAAGGTCAACGCCACTGGCGTCCACGCCTTGCTCGACACCGACATATCCCTCCATGAAAACCAGGTGGTTCAGTGCAGCGCCTACCTTGTCACGACCAAGATCGCGGACAATCTTTGTCTTGAGCTCGTCAAACTGCTCGCCTCGGCCCAGATCCAGGCGCGCCTCGCGCTCGACGTCCGGCGCGGCGGCGGCGCTCTCGACCATGGCGTGGATGACTGCCCTCACCACCTCGACCGACGCAGTCCACAGCGAGGTGAGTTGCTCCGGAACACGCGTCAGCATCTCGCCCACCGTTGGCATGTTGGCTTCGGTCCCGGTCTGCCACTCCATCACCGCCGACTGCAAAGGCAGCTCGTCCGCCAGTCGCTCCGACATGGTCAGAACCCACAGCGGCCAGTGGCCAGGCTCGCATTGAGTAGAGAGACCAAGTCTGCGATCAAGCGCGTCGGCTTCCACGCCGGTGATCGAGTGAACGCCCTGGTCTTGCATCGTCAGCTCGAGCGCCATCCAGCGCCGCAGCTCAAAGATCGAGAGCGAGTTGATGGCGCTCACCATCGCGTCACCGCCGTGGTGAGCGACAAGCTCCAGAAAGAGAGACCAGCTAAACGAGTCGAGAACCATGGTCATGCCAACATAGAGCGCGACCGCCGCCCGCCGCTGGGCGCTTGTCAGCAGGCCACCGAGCGATTGGATGGGGTGGGCCCAGAGCGGGTCGACTTCGACCGCACCCAGGCCCGGAAAGTGGGCAGCGGCTCTGTGGTCTACGTCGCTCTTCCTTCGCTTCCGCTTTGCCCTCCTGCGGCCCCTACGCTTCGCCTTGCGCTTGCCGCGGCGACCGCGTCGCTTCTTTCTCTTCTTTCCGCTCGGCAGACCGCGCTCGGCCAGCGCCGCGGCGTCGTTGGCGGCAATGTCGCGCTCGCGGCCGACCCGCGACGGGCGGAATGTGGCAGCTGCCTTGAGTGAGGCGGGATCGGTCGGGTCAATGGTCCGCAGCTTGAGCCGCACGAGCTCCTGCCACGACATAGGCGCCACCCACGGTAGCTTGTCGAGGCCGAGCCGGATGGCGCGGGTCCGCAGCTTGATGCGGAGCCACGACATGACTGCCACCGAGTCGACAATCATCGGGTGGGTGGCGTGACAGAGCCGAAAACAACCGTGTCGACAGTGGCAGTCTCGAGGCCGGTCGAGAGGCACTGCTCGAGCGTGTCGCGGAACGACTTGCGCGCCGAGTCGAGCTGTGCCGAGCCGACCCACTTGCGCAGAGCGTGGATCCGGGCGTTGGCCTCGGTTTTCGCTTCGGGCGTGAGCTGGATGAGGTCCTGGCCTTTGTCACCCGCATACGATACGTGCCCAGAGCGCTCGAGGACGTGAATGAGTGCGCTGCCGTGAGCTTCAACCTTTTTGTCGACGCCCATCTCGAGCCGCAGCGCGAGCGGAAGGTCGGCGACAAGCCGCGGCGCATCCGGCGCCTTGCAGAGAACCCCGACCAGGCCCGCCAGTGGGCGCGGCTGCGGGAAGAGCTGCAGGAACTGGAGGACTGTGAGCTCCTCGACGGCCTCGCGCCAGTTGACAGTGCCTGGCGAGCCCGCTCTGTCGGCTGCCGCTACCAACTTGGCACACAGCATCCACGCCCTCAGTTCGGTGTCGGCCACCCAGCCGTATGCAAGCGCGGTGAGCTCACGGCGAAGAACCGAGCTTCGCTTGAACATCAGGGCCCGGATACGACGAATGTCCGCCGACCGGATGATGCCCTGTCCTGCGTCGACAATGACGTCGTGCCGTCGCGGAAGCTCGCCGTCTTTGGCGGCCTGTCGGACACTAGAGAAGCTCTGAACGCTGGAAACCACAGCTTCGACAGCACCGGCAAAGTCTGGGCTCTCCAAGTCGGCGTCTGGCGCGACAGCGACGCCGACATTCCGCCAGCCGAGGCCAGATGAGCTGGTGAGTGGCCAGCGAAGAACGCCTAGGCGGATAAGGCCACGCGAGGCCAGGTCAGTGAGCAGGAGCTTGATAGTCCGCTGTGCAATCATGCTCGAGCTTCCAAGGCCGAGCGCCGAGAGCCGAGCACGGAACTCGCTGTCGCCGCGGGCCACAATCGGCGTCTGCTGCAGCCACTCGATGACGGCAGCCTGCCGCTGGAGGAAGACGTGGCCCGGCCGTTCGGCACGATCATCGGCGCGGACCGGCGCCGCCTCGAGCAGCAGCTGTGCCTCTCCGTAGGTGTGGAAGGCCTTGCCCTCGTTCGGGTCGCTGCGACCTTCAAGAAGCTGGTCAGCAATGTCCATCGAGGCGACGGCGGCAGCCTCGACGTCTGCCGAGGCAAAGACCCGCAGGTGGTGCTTGCGCCCGGCAAAGACTGAGACGGCAACCACTCCGTATTGCTCACGGAGGACCGCAAAGTACTTGTCTTCTCGGCGGTGGTTGCCGGCCGCAAACTGCCGGAGGTCGGTCCGCAGCACGCCATCGGTCCCGGCCTTCTGGATGTACCGAAACATGGCCTCGAGAATGGGAACGTCGAGGGTGACGAGATCGGTAGCTTGAGCGAGAGGTGCACTCTCGACGCCCTCAGCGCCGCCCTCGTTGTCGGAGCCGATAGCATCGTTGTCGCTGTTGCTGTTTTCGTCGTCGCCACCAGCAGCGCTCGAGTCGCGTGCTGCCGCATCCCTCGCCAGCGCCGCCGCCAGCGACAGGTCTGGCCGGCGCACCAGCTGCACACACGGCCGCCACCTTGCGGGCAACTGCGAGTGGGCCGAACTGGCGGAGCCCCTGTTGCTGCCAGGACCACCACCGCTTGCGGCGGCGTCGTCGTCATTGGCTCCCGAGTCTGATCCCGAGTCTGACGCCGCATCGGCTGTGTTGACGACACGCGCCAGGAACCGGGTGATGTAGCCGGCCTCGGCCATACGTGCGATGATTTCGCGTTTGGTGCGGGTCGAGAGCGTGACGTGGTGGGCGAGCGAGTCTGTGATGGCGCCGATGACCTGCTTCTGCGGCATGATGCTGTTCTCGGTGCGGTGAAGAACCTCGCATCCAACGTCGTAGAGAACGTCGTGGACAACAATGCCAGCCTGCGGGCTGTGGAGGTCGACGAGCGAGTCCGGTGCGCACTTTGCGAGCACAATGAGTGAGGTGTTGAGGATACGTGCATCTGGTGGCGCGTCAGGCGACGGGCAGTCAAAGATGGGTACGCGGACGACGGCACCCATGGCGGCGAGTGTCTTGATCTGGTAGAAGATTTGCTTGGGGGTGAGTCCTGAGACACGAGCGAGCTCGATGGCGGAGATGCCTGCGGCTCGTCTCCTGGCGACAGCCACAAGGACGGCCTTCTTGGTCGCCGAGAGCTTGACCGACGGCGGCAGGCCGAGCAGCTCTTTCAGCACAGTCGGATCGAGTGCATACGCATCGCTCTCCTTTCGCCACACCACCTGCGCATGGCCCTGTAGCCGCGCAGCAAGGATCGATGCCACGGCGTCGTCGGCAGTGTACGGCCAGCGGTCGCCGACACGGCTCACCAGGGCCTGGAGCGGAACCTCTGGCTCTGGGCAAAGTGCGAGCTCAGAGATACAGGCCTCCACGAGGGCATCCATGGCGTGCGCCCTAAATGAATGGGGAGGGGTGTGTGTATGGGTGTGCGGACGGTGGACGAGGAAAGAGAGAAAGAGAGAAAGAGAGAGAGAGAGAGAGAGCAGTGGTGCGTAATGGGGGCCATCCCCCTCCCCTCCCTCTCCTGTGTCCTGGCGTGTTTGGCCCGACCCTGCCTGACCGCCACCGGCCGCCACCCAGCGACCACTCGCCGCTCATTCGCCGCCACCGGACGACTGACTCTGATTTGGCGCCACTGACTGCCCCCCGCCCCCTATCCCACCCCACCCCACCCCTACACCACCCCACCCCTACACCACCCCACCCCTACACCACCCCACCCCTCCCCACCCCTTCGTGATGGACAGGCTTCTGGAGAGGGAGCGCAAGCTGCGGCAGCTGAATGAACAACTCGACGCCCGCAAGAGCAGGGCCGAGAGCCATGCGGCGCAGGTGCTGCAGGAGCAGGAGGCGTACTTTCAGCGGATGGCCGGTCCGGCTTTGGAGCCGCTGCCCCAGCCCGAGGCTCCGATGGCGGCACCGGAGGCGGCACCGGAGCAGCCTGTGCTTACTGTGCCTGCTACTCCGCCTCGGGGTCGGACGCCGCTGCGGACGGCGGCTCGGCCGACTACCGGCGCCGTGTTTGCCACTGCCACGCCTGGATCACCGGCGTCGTCGACCCTTGCGTCGATGAGGCACTCGCTGGCCATGTCGCCGCCGCAGAGCAGCGGGTCGCCGCACCCGCGGACCAGCAGCGGGAGCTCGCCCGGCTCGGCCGCGGCTGCCATGGCCCAGGTCTCGGTCCTCACCCGTGAGCTGCAGGCGATGCAGCAGCGGCTGGAGAGCGTCATGGCCGAGTCGGCCGACAAGGATCGCATGCTCGCCGAATCCGAAGCCGAACTCAAGACTGCGCTCGACGAGAACCGCCGCGCCGCTCGTGCCGAGCAGGCGCTCAAGACTGCGGCGACAAAGGCGCAAAAGGTGGCAGAGGAGGCGCGTCGCAAGGCCCACGCCCACGCGCTCAAGGCCAGCTCGCTGCAGTCCGAGCTCGACAAGACGGTGGCCGACTCGCGGGCACGGGCGAGCAAGGCCACATCGGCCGACGTCCGGCTCAATCGGGCGCTAGAAGAGGCGGAAAAGGTCAAGGCGGAGCTGGCAGAGGCGCAGGCTGCCGCCCGCGACGACGCCGCCAAGTTCCGCCGCGAGCTCGCCGACCGCGACGCGTCCATCAAGCGGCTCTCCAAGCAGCGCACCGAGCTCCTGGCTGCCTTTAAGAAGCAGGTTAAGCTCATCGATCTACTCAAGCGCCAGAAGCTGCATATCGAAGCCGCCAAGGCACTGTCGTTTACCGAGAACGAGTTTGCGCGCGTGCTCGCGCTAGGCGAGCTCAAGCTGCAGTCGTAGGCCTAACCGAGACCGAGCTCGTAGGCCAGGCGAAAGTCGCCACGGTGGATCCAAAGGTTGGCGCCCATTTTGACGCCGGCCTCAACCGGCCCGCCGGCGTGGTGAGTCCGCGGGTTCTCAGCGTCGACGTCCGGCAGCACGTTGGCCCAAACCACCGCCGAGCCGGCCTTGGGCGGGACCGAGAGGCCGAGGACCGGGAACTCGGTGTGCCCGCCGGCGTCGGGCTCGAGCAGGTATATGAAGATCGTGAAGATCCGTCCGCCGCACGGCGACTCGAGGTGGCGTTCGATAAAGTCCGAGTGGACTCGGAACTCGGAGCCCTCAAAGTCGTACTTTGTAAACTGCAGCGGCTCCGAGTTGTTGAGATGCGTCTGCGTCGCTCGTGCGCACCGCGCCAGTACCCGAGCCACCACCTCGTCGGCGGTGCAATCTTCGTCGCAGTGTGCCGTGACCGACGTCCGATAATCGGACGCCTGCTCCTTGTTCGGGTTGTCATAGTTGAGCGTGAGCGACCGCGAGAATCCGATGCCTTCAGCCTTGCTCACCAGGTGCGCCACCTCAGACGGCGAAAGAAAGTCCTCCAGGAGCACCACCGCGGGATCCGAGTGCAGCAGCGTCGCCTCAAACTCGTCCGACGCCGCAAGCTCCTGCAAGACCTGCTCCACCGAGATGTGGGCGTACACCTCGGTGTCTTCCGCCATCACGCCCTCGCCTGGCCGCTCCCACTCCCCGCTCACCATCGTGATCCAGCCCTCTGCGTACGGTGTGATGGTGCATCCCGCGCCCTTGTAGTGGGCGTGGACTACGGTCTCAGGTGTGACGCCGAGTGCGTCCACCAGCTCGGTGCTCACCGGGTAGACCGGCGTCCGCAGCGCGATGATGGCAGCCCGCGAGAGGAGCTTTTCGGTCACAGCGCCATGATCAAACTCAAAGGTGATCGCCTGGCACTTGTCCAACGCCGCACAGAGGGCAACCGCCTCCGAGAGCGGGCCATGGGTTGACTCGTAAACATCGTGCCCTGCAGGCACAAATGAGAACCCGATCTTCCAGTCGTCCGGCACCAGCTCCGACCTCGGCGCGGCGTCGCTCAGCGCTGCTGCCACCTCGGCCTCGAACTCGGGAAAACGGTTGTCATCGCCGTCCTTCATGTCCCCGTCCTCGTCGTCCTCGTCGTCCTCGCCGTCGTCGTAGCTTTCGTCGCTTCCGTCGCTCTCCTCCCCATCGAGCCAGTCGTCCGGACTGGACTCGCCAAGCTCGCCCAACTTGGCACGGGACTTGTCGGCCTCCTCCACAAATGCAGTGAACAAAGCAATGGTAAACAGCTTGCTTGCACCATCCTCCTTCTGGGATGCCACCGAAATCGCCGCCGCAATGTACATGTCGGCCGTCTCCTCATCGTGCTCCATCAGCTCGTCATCGGTCATAGCCTCAGCCTCGTTTGCCATCTGGAGCACATACTCATACAGTGCGTGATCTTCGTCACTCATCCGCTCGTCGTTGTACTCTTCCGAGTCAGCAACATCCGCCCACATCCCTAGTCCATTCATCCCACCGGAATCGTCGTCAAAGCCCCCTGCGGCTTCAAAGTCATCCACAACGAGGCCGCCATCGTCTTGAGCCAAAGCCACGGACGCCGCCAACGCCACCGCCGCCACCACCACCCACCAGCCGGTCTTCCAGCTCCAGCAAATCATTCACACTCGGGTGTTCCTTGCGTAGAGAGACAAAGACAGAGACAAAGACACACACGCGCGCACACACACACTCCTAGCCGTGTGGACAAGTCTTGTCTGACGTCCGGGTCCGGGGCCAGTTAGGCGGGTTGCTCCGCTTGGCGAAGTGTTCAGGTCGGCGAAACACTGCTGCAGCGATGACCTGCAAATGGATGTGGGTCAGAATGGGACGCGCATCCAGATGGAGGCGGATGCAGCCGGATGACGACTACCATCATCATAATGCCTCATCATCATCATCATCATCCGCCTTCATCTCCCCCCGCGGATTGGCTTGATCATCGCCGCCCTCACCTCTCCCGTCGTCACCTCTCCTCACCCCGCCCACCCACCCACGACCCACATGCATCCCCTCGCTGCCTCAACTGCAGTCGCAGTGCTCGCCCTCATCCTCGCTGCTCTCCTCTCACCGCCCTCGCCCTTTGCTTCGCTCCCGTCGTCGGTCGACATGCTCCCACTCCCGCTGCAAGAGTGGGCGGGCTTACCTGGGGCGACGTCTCTCCCCATCTCGGTCGCCGGAGTCACGCTCGACGTTTTCACCATCCTGTTCGAGTGCCAAAAGATCGGCCGTCGACAGTGTGGTCTCCCGCTTGTTCTTGTCCATGGCTTCCCCACGTCATCTTACGATTGGCATGGGGTGGCCGGCCGGCTCTCGGCAGACCGCAACGTTATCGTCCTGGATCTGCCTGGCTACGGCCTCTCGGACAAGCCGCTCCCGGCAGACTACGCATACTCGCTCTTTGATCAGGCCAAGGTGGTATTTGCTGTCGCTGCACACTACGGCGTGACCTCGGCCGGCCTTGTCTGCCACGACATGGGCGACAGCGTGTGCGAGGAGATGGTGGCGAGTGCAGCTGACGGCGCGCCGCACGCCGTCGGCCTCGACATCGCCTTTGTGGTCTTTAACAACGGCGGCATGAAGATCGACATGGCTTCATTCCGCTTCTCACAGGTTCTGCTGCGGCTCCCGCTCGTGGGCGATGCCTTTGTGCGGCTCTCCAACTACGCCATCTTCTCACGACAAATCCGCTCGATCTCGTCTGAACTCCTCACCTCGGCTGACATCGACGCCATGTGGGCGAGCCTGCTGTACCACGACGGCGCGTGGCGGCTCCCGGCTCTCATCGGCTACATTGACCAGCGGTTCAAGCACGGCGAATCCCGTTGGATGGCCGCGCTCCGCGCCACCGACATCCCGCTCGGCTTCATCTGGGGCGCCAGGGACACCGTCGCACCGCCCGCCATGGGCGCCGCCATCGAGGCTGACCTTTCCCAAGCTGGCTTTGTCTGGCTACCCGACCTCGGCCACTTTGCCATGGTCGAGGACCCGGATGCATGGCTGAACGCCTTTGCCTCGCTCCTTCCACGCCTCGAGTCACCTCCGCCCCCGCCCATGCCCTCGATGCACTCCACCACACACTGACAACACAGTCAGATTGACCCTGCCACGCCCCCAGTTGAGCGCTGGCTGGAAGAGCGGAGGAGGGAGGAGAAGGAAGGTAGGTAGAAAGCGGCAGTGCACTCTCCGCCGAGAAAAACACGGACACTCCACGCCAACAGCCGAAAGAAAAACTGCTTCTGCCATGACCATTTCCAGGTGCGTCCTTCCCCCCCTTCCCCGCAACTACCCACAAGCCACAAGCCCCCCACTCCCCCCCCCCCCCCCCCCCAGTAAAA